CCGCGCTGCCGCAGCGGGTGACTCCGGCGTGGGAGCGGAGGCGGCGGAGGACGCGGAGAGCGCCCCGGAGGAGCACCCGCGCCCGGCCGCCCTTCTGGCTCCGCGCCTCCCGCCCATGGAGGGCGCGCTGTGAGCGCCTCGCCGGCGGAGCTCCCGGCGGCGGCGGCGGCGGCGGCTGAAGCCGAAGCGCCGGCCGCCCTCCCTCCTTCTCCCTCTCCCTCTCCCTCTCCTCCTCCTCCTCCTCTTCCTGCGCCTCCGCCTCCTCCCAGCCGGCGCAGCCCCGGCCCCCGCCCCCGCCCCCGCCTCCGCCGCTCCTGCCGCCCGCCGCCCGCCGCCCGCCGCCAGTCGGCCGGCCAGCCCGCCAGCCCGCCAGCCATGTCCTACCCTCAGGGCTACCTGTACCAGCCCCCGGGCTCGCTGGCGCTCTACTCGTGCCCGGCGTACGGGGCGTCGGCGCTGGCGGCGCCGCGGAGCGAGGAGCTGGCCAGGTCTTCCTCGGGCTCGGCGTTCAGCCCGTACCCCGGATCCGCGGCGTTCACCGCCCAGGCGGCCGCCACCGGCTTCAGCAGCCCGCTCCAGTACTCCACCGACCCGGCCTCGGGATTCCCCTCCTACATGGTGGGTAGCGCGAGCGAGCCGGCCAGACGCCGCCGCGGCGCCAGCCCGCCGCCTCCATCTTCATCCCCGCCCTCCTCTTCCTCGTCCATCGCTCCGCGCTCGCGCCTCCGTGGCTGCCCACGTTCGGCGCCGGGCGACCCGCGTTAAGCACCCGAGCCGGGGCGGGCGGGCGGGCGGGCATCGCTGTCCCTCAAAGCTCGCCTCTGTGCGCCCTGCGTGCGCGGATCTCGCCTCTCCCTTTCGCGCAGTCCCCTTCCCTGCTTCCCTCCTCCTCCCCAGCTGTCCGGACTTTCCTGCGCCCCTTCATTCATCTCCCCGCCCGGCCTCTCCTCTCTCCGTCCCCGATTCCTGCGCTCTCCTTGCGTTCCCCACTCGCACGTTTCCCTCGCCCGCTGCTTCGCTTACCGCCCGACTCGTCTCCCCTTCTCGCACTTTTCTCCCTCCCCGTGCGGGAAGCCCGCCTGCAGAAATCCGGCTGCCGGCGGGCGGGCGGGCGGGCGAGGGCTGCCCGGAGGCGGGGGGCGGCGCGTTGCCTTCTCGGACGCGGCTCGGGACGCGCCTCCAAGCCTCCCCGAGCCCTTCGGAGTGCGCCGGGGCCGGCGACCGAGCGCGTTCTGCCGGCACGGCAGACCGGGACGGATTAAAGACAGCCGCGACAACCAGTTCCGGGAAAGTGGGGCGAAGGGACCGTTTTCTTTCAGTACACAAGAGATATCAGATCGAGCGCCCTTGCCTGGAGTGCCTTTCCTCCTCCCCCCGCCCCGCCGCCGCCTCCCTTTCTCTCGGGCTGGCGACCTTTATTTAGGATAATGGGGGCCGAGCTCCAGCGCTCCTGTTTGGCTTTCTCGTGGCGGGAGGGAAGCAGCCGCGAGTGCTTCGGGGCTGATCCAAGAATGCTCGCTAAACGCTGAGCGCCTTCGCTTCCAGAACCGGCTTGAAAGTTATCGAGCGGCTCAACTCACCCCACCCCCGCCCGCCTGCCCCCTATCTCTCTCCGCTGCCTCATATTATGCAGACTTTAAATCAGCGCAATTTAAACGTTTAAAGGGTGAATTAAAATGCTAATTATATCGCATTTGACCAATTCGAAACGGTGCATATCTTCTGGTTTGCAAATTGGATTTGCGATGCATTAGCGGAGTGAATTGCTAAGTGGGGGGTTCCGTTGCCTCTCGCCTTCCCCCCGCCGCGGCAAGAGGGGAAATATTCTCGTAAGCACCAGCGGAGGAGGAGCGGAAAAGTGGGACGAGAGTAAGGAACTACCTGTAGGACCTCGAAGGGGGGAAAAGGCCGCCTCGAATTGCGCTAGATAGAAACGAATAGGCATAACTGGCAGCATTTTTGGTGGGGGAGGCGAGAAGCCCAGTCCGGTTTGCTCCGTGTGTGCGTTTGGAGAAATAACGTGGGGACGTGCAGTTTGTCCGCGAAGAAATACCGTGTGTGTTATTTCCGGGGCGATGCGATGCGGTGCGGTGCGAGTGACCGATGCGGAAGGGCCAGCGCTGCTGTGCAGACATCTGGCTGCGGGAAACGGCTAACACCTGGCTCCTCTTGTGCACAGCAGGGCTCCCCGTACGACGCCCACACGACGGGGATGAGCGGGGCCATCAGCTACCACCCGTACGGCAGCCCTGCCTACCCCTACCAGCTGAACGACCCCGCTTACCGGAAGAACGCCACGCGGGACGCCACGGCCACGCTGAAGGCCTGGCTGCAGGAGCACCGCAAGAACCCGTACCCGACCAAGGGCGAGAAGATCATGCTGGCCATCATCACCAAGATGACCCTCACGCAGGTCTCCACCTGGTTCGCCAACGCCCGGCGGCGGCTCAAGAAGGAGAACAAGATGACCTGGGCGCCCCGGAACAAGAGCGAGGACGAGGACGAGGACCTGGAAGGGGACGGCGCGGGGGTGCGGGCCAAGGAGGAGACGCTCTCGGACAAAGGGCAGGACAGCCACGAAGCCTCGGCGGAGGATGAAGGTGAGAGCGGAGCGGGCCTGGAGTGGCCGCGCAGCCTGCCCCCATCCCCGCACGCTCGCCTCGGGCGCCGGCGGGGCTCCCTCCTGGGAAGGCGTGTGGGGTGGCTTGTGGGCTGGTGGGGGGCTTTCCCCCAGGCCCGCGATTGCACCAGCGGGCCCTCTATGGGGGAGAGGCCTCCTCCGTCCCTAGGGACAGCGCAGCGCTCCTGCTTTCCCTCTAAAGCACAGCAGAGGAGCGGCTCTCAGCCGAGCGGTCTACCCTGCAAGGGCCGAGCTAGCTGCTCCGCTTCCTTCGAACAAGCGGGAAGCCACCATAACGTGGGCTCTGGTCAAGCATCCAGCGCGCTTCGGGCGCGTTGTCTCCGACATTCTCTGGACAGCCCTGGGAAGCAGGCCAGGCCCATTCCTAAGTAATGCCGGGAGGGGCTGCGCGGGAAGGCCCCTTCTCGGCTTGCGCCTGAGCTCTCCGCGGAGCAAAGGCCTCCGGCCGGGCTGAGGCAGGGGGCGAAGGGAGCAGGCCGCCCGGCCACCAAGGAGGGCGCCCCTGCAGGGAGGTGGGGTGAGGGTGGGGAGAGGGCTGAGCGTGTGTCTCGGAATGCTAATCAGAGACCAAAGGCCTCTGGTCCCGGTGTGTTTTTCGGGGGAAAGGGGAGGCTCTGGCGTCGGAGGCGCCACTCCTCTGCTGCCAGGTTGCCTTGACTGTTGCCCCGGTTCTCCACTCCAGGGATCAGCTTGCAAGTGGACTGCCTGACTGACCACTCCTGCTCGGCCGAATCCGACGGCGAAAAGGCCCCTTGCAGGTCCGGAGACAGGCTGTGCGAGTCCGGCTCGGAATGCAAGGACAAGTACGAGGAGACTGGGGAAGACGAGGACGATGTGGAGGACGAGGAGGAGGACGACGAGGAGGAGGAGGCCGAGCGAGGCCTCCCCGCCAAGCCCGTCACCTCCTCCCCGCTCACCGGGGTGGAAGCGCCTCTCCTGGGCCACCCCCATGGCGAGGACTCCCCCCGGAACGCCAACAAAGCCGCCCTGGACGCCCGGATGCCTCCGTCGGCGGCCTCGCAGGCCACGCAGGCCAGCAAGCCCAAGCTGTGGTCGCTGGCGGAGATCGCCACCTCGGACCTTAAGCACCCCCACCACCCGCACCTCGGCCTGGGGCAGAGCTGCCAGCCGGCCGCCCCACCGCCCTCCGCCCCCCACAACGCTGCCTACTCGCCCTCCTCACTGCTGGGCAGGCACATCTACTACACCTCGCCTTTTTATAGCAATTACACAAATTACGGGAACTTCAATGCCCTCCAGGGCCAGGGCATCTTGAGGTACAACTCGGCCTCTGTGGCCTCAACAGAAGGACTCGCTCAGACTGTGATAAGCAGCGGCAGCCTGGCGCAGAAGCCGGGCTCGGAGAGCGCCTTGAAATCCATCGCCAGCCACGTAGAACAGCACTACAAGCCCCCGAGCTCGGACCCCAAGAAAGGTAAGCGGCGGCGCCTCGCTGTTCCGCCTTCTGGGGGCGGGAGGGAGGCTTCCCGTTCGGGGCTGGAGAGGGAGGGGAGCCGGGGAGCCGGCATCCCAAAGTTGACCGCGAAATGGTTGTGCGACGTGCCGGTGAAAGGAAGGAGGGCTTCGAGGGATCTTTCCGGCAATTTTGAGCTGCGAAACTCTTTTTTTATTTTAAGGAAGCTGCGGCCCAGTGTGCCTTTAGCCACTTGAGATTCCTTGGTCCTGCACGTTCTTTGTTCGCATTTTTAAAAAAGCCATCTCTTGACGCTCGCAGGATTCCGGCCGCAGCTGTGATTTTAACTAGGTCTCTCTTAGAAAAAGTCTTTGCCGAAGACAATGGGATTAACCTTCCAGTAATTCTGATTAGGAAGGGAATGTAAACAAATCCTTCCAAAATAAGCTTTTAATTACACATAATTAAAAACATAGTTTAAAAACAAATGCATGAAATAATCCAGCATCTAAGTTGTAAACACTTCAGCTAAAAGGCATTCGGAAACTATGATAAAAGCACTGAATTGCTGGTGTTTTTGTTGTTGTGAGAGGGGAAGATACAAAATACAGAGACAATATATGCTTTGCTGCATGTATAGGAATAGTTAATATGCCCAGAGAAGAACAGTTTCAGTTTGGGGAGGAAAAATCACAGTGCAAAAAAGGAAGCAAACAATCCAGAAAGCTTGTTCCTAAGAAAATGCACCCGGAAGGGAATTCCGTTGGGATAAACGGGACAGAGAACCTCTGCGCACCTACCGAGAAACAGCCCCTACCGAGTTCAGTGGAACTGGCTACCGAGAGAAGGGCTGCAAGACAAGAGTATTTTCAGTGGCGCATGCCTGGGGTCGCAGCGCCCGGTGCCTGTGTCACCCCAGTGCCTACCCGTCCTAGTTTTCGGGAAACAAAAACGCCTTCGGAGCGCTGGTCCAGAATGAATCGCCCTGCCCCTGCAGTCCCCAGCCGGCGGAGAAGCGCTCGAGCCGAGTCGGGACCGGCCTTGGCTGCAGGGTTTGCGTGGCGAGCGGGCGGGCGGGCGGGCGAGCAAGGCCGAGCCGGGCGCATGATCTCGTTCGCCAGCAGCGCAGGGTGACTAACCGACGCTCTCTCTTGACAGACCCTGTTGAAGGCTGCTCAGTCGCGATCCAGCCCTTCCTATAGAAGCGCAGTCACACCGCAGCCAGGCAAGTAAGTGTATCCAGCTTCGTTCTCCCTCTCCTCCGTTCTCCTTTATGCTCGGGAAGATCATTTGGCATTAGCTCCTGAGACATATTGCCCAGCCTGTAAATGTGCTTCATGTTAAATTCTTGCTCCATTACCAAAGAGCATGATTAAGAAGAAAAGCGTACTGTATTTCCATCCTTCCGGGTTTCTTTTTTCCTTTTTAAATTTGAGAAATCAGTTCGGTTGTTTCTCACACACCACTCCCGCGGACTTTTTAAGCTCTGATGTTTTAAAGGAATATTTCCATTTCAATGCTTCTCCATATCCTCCGAGTTATGATTTGCAAAGGACACAGTCTAGGTGGAGGTTCTCCCTCGTAAGACCCCAATGCAGTGAATCGTGGAGGGGCTGTCCCCTTTGGAAGCCAGCCAGAATTCAACTCATTGTCTTTCTCCATGGTTTGAAATGTATATCAGCATATCAAATAAAAGGTGGGAGAATATAACCGCCCTTATTTCTTTCCAGTGGGGCATTCAGAAGAAAGTCCTGCTGGAGTGCACTTTAACACATCGCTATAAACTGGAAATTCTAAGAAACCTGCATTAAAAATAAGAAGCTCGTTTATTTACTCTGCTCATATACATTTCAAACAGCAGAGATGGACAATGAAATAAATCTGGGCCGAATTCCAGGGACTGTCTGCATGAATTACCTCTGTGTCCCCATGTTTTTCCAGATAGCTGCTACAGTTAGGAATGAATAAAACCTTGTGGCCGAGTATTTCTCACTCCCTCAAAAATAACAACATCAAAACCAACACAGCCTCCTGTGCCAAAGGAGAATGAGCATTTTAGCTTGCCGTCAGTTTAACCCTCCACATGTAACTGAAAGATGGTAGATGATTTGGTGTTTTCCTTGGTCTGCAGGTAGGTGTCACAATTGCTTTGAGAAAAGTCAGCAAGCTATCATCTCTCCCCAAGTTAATCTATCTATATCTCTATCTCTAACAAAACTCTAAATCTGAATCCCATCTTGTGCCACTGTATAAAAGAAGACCACAGAGCACACTCAAATCTACAGACGTTGTCTAATTATTAAAGCAGAATGTTCTTGGACATTATGTGAGTTTGCTGGTATAGTCCTAGTTTTCCCCAGTGTATGCGTGACTAAACAAGAAATTTTTAAAAAAGCAAATCTGTCTTTTCTCAGGATATTTGGAATTGATCACTTCATTGCCACGGTATATATATAACTATATATATCTATATTCTGTAGGTGTGATAGGATTTATTGTACAAACTCTTTGTAAAAGATCAACCAGTAGGAATTACTTAAAGAAACCGTGACCGAGGAACTTGAGTACTTACAAAGTGGAAACAAATTTGATATTTATTTTTGTAATGATATAAAAGCTTCTAGTAATTTATGCAAGTTGTATTGCAATGGAATCCCAACTCTTTTGTAAATAAATTATGCCTGGTTTTTATTTGAGACATTGATGGTTATACAATCCCTCGTTGTTTAACGAGAATTCTTTACTAATTTATATCTTTAATTGTAAATAAAATCAGATTAGTCTACAACAAGTTGCTGGCTTCTTTTTTCATTTTCATATATAAATTTCACTCTGAGTTAATTTATTCAGGCAGCAATCCTATGCCTACTTACCTGTGAGCAAGTCCCATTCAATTTGGTGAGACTTACTTCTGAGTAGACATACCTAGGATTGTGCTATCGGCCTTTAGCATATAGTTAGCACTGTAGCTAACTAAAACTAACTGATGATCAGCATGCATGTAGAAGGAAGGCCGTCTGAGTTAATGATAGTAAAGACTGTTCTATATGCACAACTTAAAATCCATTACTTTTATCGTACATGCTGTTGTGTGTCGTTGTAGCTCACTCAAAGTAAACATTTTTATTTTTCTCAAAAGGCAACTATGCCTTCAAAGAACAAAAAATGCCAAATACCCCTTCCCCTGTTAAAATATGAGTGTTCATATCTTTAATGTGGTGATCACTTAGATCAAAGTTGGGCTTTAAAAAAATCTCAGCTATCGCTTCATTCACATCCCACCAGTAAATAATGAGAATTCCCATATAATATAATTTCAATAAAGAGACAAACAACCATTTATTTTCTCTCCCAAAGATAAATTGAGTGAATATAACTTACGGTTATGAAACAAGAATAATAGCTTCTTAGATTGGCCTTTAATCAATCATACACTTATTTTTCAAGAGCCCCATCTATTTTATTCCATGATTAATAATGTTCCAGCGTGAGAGCATTATTAGATCCCAGCAGGAGAGATCCTGGATGCTTTTAGCTGCTCTGGAATGGTCAGTTGGGGTTCATTACGGGCTGATATTGAACAATTTATAAAATCTTGTCTAAACATCTGCCAGCTCAGATAGGCCGATGTATCTGAGGACGGGAAATTGCTGGACCAGTTGAAATTGACAAACGCGACTCTCTCCAGTGGCTTTTTGTTCACTGAAATCAGTGGCCTCTTGCTCAAGGGCTTGTAAGAAAGGGCATTTGAAAGTGATCTTAGATACTTCAGGCTTCAGCCTGGGGAATGTTAACTGGATAAAGACTGGGGTCTGTGTGTGCGTGTGTGTGTGTGCGCGCACACACACGGGCACCAGGCTGTAATTACAGGAAGGTTAGAGACACTGAATATTATTACAAAGATGTTTGCGTGTATATATGTATCTCGGGGCTCCACAAGGACAGGGCTGAAACCTGATAGGCTGGCAAACTGCTGGAGGGGTGGCGGGGAGGGCGCCCATCAGCTGGTTTTTCTAGTCATGTAGGGCTCCTTCTCTAAGCCTGGGATCCCAAGCCATTTTTGATTGGAAAAACCCATAGCAAGAGGACTAACTTTAAGGCGAATGTGCTTAAGACAATGGGTATGTTGGGGTTTTAGTCAAGCTATAATGAGTCGATTTATTTGAGCTGTTCCGGCCCGTGAAAGGGAAAGTTGTGTAACAGGTGTAGAATTACTTTCCAACCAAATGAAGGCTGAGCTTCTTCTTGACTGCCATACAGACGTGTAAAACCCCTATTGCCCGATTTAGACCAGATCTGTGCATCCTTATTTCATAGATTTCTTTCCACCTATGAAATCCCGGAGATGCTGTTTCACATGAATCAGTGCACAATCAGAGCCAGGCCAGCTAGAAATTTTTCAGCACACGCCTAAACTGAAATAGCAGGGAACTGCCTGGGTACAGGATTTGGCCCTGAACGGCTTGGATTATTCCTGAGCCATGTTTCCACGGGGCATGCCCAGGAGAATTTCCCAGGGAAATAACTCTGCATTTTGTATGTGCTGGTGTCACGAGAGTCAATTTTATTTTATTTTATTTTTTGTATTGCCACACGTGGGTTGGAGGTAATGTCACATTTAAATACAACCCCGTGTAAAAAATGTTTCAGGCTGAACACTGGTTAGGGAACACTTCATGTAGTACAAATACATCCTGCCTAGGCAGATTATTCTAGCAGGGAAAACTTCGTGGGGCTCTCCCCCTTCTTCAGTGGGGCAGCGTCTGACTAGGAGCTTGGATGGTCCCCGCTTGTCTGCTCCTTTTTCTCCCCCGCCCCCGCCCCATATTCCTGGTTCTATACCAGTAACATGCACATTTCAGTCAGTTTTATTTTATTTGATTTCAAATCCATTCAGTGGCACAGATTAGGAAAGCTAAACGACTCTGCTTTGATGTTTATATACTCCCGGAGAATTATCTAAGATTTCCATAATTTACTTACCCCTTGCTAGAATTTAGACCTGGGATTTCTTTTTCTGGAAGGAAAAGTCGAAAGACTTGGGGCAGCTGGCTTTGAAAGAGTTCCTCTTTGCCTGTCACATCCAGAGGGGGATGTTATAATCTCCGAGAGGGGGGAGCGCATGGATTGCTGCTGCCCTGCGCCCCCATCTCTCCCGCGCGCGGTGCTTTGGCGAACGAACCGATCTCTTGAACTATCAGTACCGGGGAAGCTCCGCGGCCCAGGCCGCGACCGGAACCAGCAGAAGCCGCTTCGCACCCGGCGCAGCGGAGGGGGAGAGTCCCCCGCGCCCCGCGCAGCATCCCGTTCATCTCAGGGGCCGTTTGGCGCGGGGAAATGCTCCCCACGCGTCTCCCTGCGGAGGAAGGCATTGGTGGAGCAGGTTCCCTCGCACCTCGACAAAGGAGAGAGGGTCTGCACCGTTAGGATGAGACGGCGGCTGCCCGTTTTCGTAGCAGTTGCGGTGGGAAGGCGAACTGAACACGTGAAAATACTGGCCAGATGCTCCTTTAATCTTGGCCATCCCCCCCCCTCCACCGTGCAAATACTGTGACTTGATCATCACCCCTCGTCCGACCAGGGCCAAGACCTTCGGCTCCCGGTGCCCTCTCCCCTTCCCAACTCGCTCGGGTGCCCAGCTTGCGCCTGGACGGCGAACTTGTCGATGCCACGGACCACCCCGGGGAACTTGTGGGTCGCTTTCATGAAATCAGGGTCCTTTCTCCTGGAGAAAGGAGCAACCTTGGCTTGTGGTTATTGTCGTCCAATAAGGGGACGGGGGATTCCTGCCCCCCGTCCCTCCCCCCCCTTCCTCCCCCCCCGTCCCCCCCCCCCCCCCCTTCACATGTTCGCATTTGCCCGCCCTAAGAGCTCGGCTGTCTCTGGAAAGCGGCTTTGTTTTCCTGCGTTCGGGGCGCGCAGGACGGGGGTCCAGACGGAGGGGAAAGCACCCCCTAGACGGCCCCTCTGCTCGCCTCTCTCTTCCCCTACCAAACGGGATTTTTTTTCCTGTTAAAGGGGGAGGGGCTGGGAGGGACTTTCCCCCGCAGACGAGTTCACGGTTCCAGGAGGCCGGGTTAACCTCACTGTTTGTCATCCACGCCGGCGGGAGATCAGTCGCCACAGGACGGCTTGGAAGAGCCACGGGCGGGCGAGGGAGCCGCGGGCGCAGCTGGGGCTTTGCGCGCGGAAAGGGCAACGCGCCGCAGCCACCCCCAAACCTGTTCGCCCCCCAGGAAGCGGCCCCCCCCACAATGCACTGACCCCACGGAGCGGCCCCGTGGGCGCGTCCCCTCGAAAGCCAGGTCACAACGCGAATGAAATGAATGACGCTGCCATGGACCAGCGCTTGGCTGGCGAGAGGCAGCCCCGACCGCGTCCAGATGTGCTCGGGGCAAACGTGCACAGAGTCGGGCCGCCGAGCGCTTCGCCGTGGTGCTGAATTTTGGCAGACTCGTGCCCATTTTGGGGGGCGCGGGAGCTGTCGATTTCAGCAAAATGGGCTTCCCCAGGGGAGATTTGCAAAGGCTAAGTATGTATGTCCGACCCAAAGTAGACCCACTGGAATGAATGGGAACGTGAGTTCTATTTACTTCCGTGGGACTACTGTATATAGGATTTAGCCTACTAGAACCCTGATCTCGCTTGGGCGGATTTTTAAAAGAAAGTATTTTGCTAGCGAGCAAGACGACAAACTGCGAGAAGATAAATAAGCGCCGATTTTTCGCTTGTCAGCCACGCCGAAAAGCCCCCTAGGACGGACAGGCCGCGCTTTTCCTCCTCTGGGGAAGGGACTCTCTAAACCGGGGTGGAAGTCGTTCCAGTCTGGGCCGCCCTGAGCCAAGCACAAAGGGGGACAAGCCCTTAACAAATTTATCCTCCACGTCACAGCTAATAACAGGACGTCAGAAAAAGTGAAGCCGAAATCCAATTAGCAGCTCAAAGCCTCGTTGCTTATTAGCGCTGGCAAAAGGGATTAAGGCCGGAATCTTACGCGCAATTCATCCTCCAGTTAGTCCATCGCGTTCATGGGACGCTTCCGGCCTCTTTGCGTCTGGCAGAAGTCTCTGGGTGAGCAAATCATGGGCAAAACTTTCAGGCCGGTGCGCAGCGGGATCCCCCACTTTGCAAACCGAATCCAAGCGTGGAATTCTGAAAGCTTGGAGCAGCTGGGCCAGCCCTGGCTTTTCGCTCAAGCTTTGCTGGCCCTCTGCTATCTGACAGCTTTCCTCGAGGTTTCTGTTCTGAGCAAGCGTTTTCCAACGGGAACAGCGAGTCGGAAGGACTTGGTGACTCCACGTGTCAGTGAATCCCCCCTAGCGCGCTGCATCCTGACGCTGGCCTCTTTGCGAGTGTTGGCTTGCCTCTGCTCCATTGAAATGAATGGAGATGACTGCCACGGGGATTCGAAGGCAACCATTGCGCCGGCTGGACTTTTACCCGTTCTTCTAATGGGTCCAGTGGGGGAGAGCTGGACCTATAACTAACTTTCCGTGGGTCCCCCTGCCCCATAACCATCCTTCCAGCCCTGCAAAAATTTCCACTCGC